CCCTGAATGAGCCGACTGGTAACGATTTCCTGCTTTCAACGCTTTTTTTGGATAATAAACGCGTCGTTTAACAGCTTTTCTGTTACTTAGAGACTTTTTTATCCTTAGATTTAACAACGATCCCTCGATCGACATGCTATTGTTGACGACACTTGTTGGAGGACTGGGATTGAATCTGACTGGTGCCGACATGGTCATCTTTGTAGAGCACGACTGGAACCCAATGAAGGACCTACAAGTACGTAACCACCAGCCCTGTGAACCTTTTCCCTCCCCCTTGTTTATTCCAATTTTTACCAATTTTGCTCAAGCCTTGTTTTGGTAGATGCGATCAGTTGCCTTTTCTTGATTGCTTTGATCATCTTTTTTTGGCCATGGACCGAGCTCATCGTATTGGACAGAAGAAGGTTGTAAACGTTTACAGATTGATAACATGGGGAACACTCGAGGAAAAGATTATGGGGTAGGCTTTAGAGCAGCACTATTTGAATCATACAGCACAGTGTAATTAGGCTTTTTTTCGAGGTTACACTCTCGACGAGAAGCCTCCTTCTTTAAGCCATTTAGACATCCTGAGATAGGACTAACATTAACGCTCGATGCTCTTAGCAAAGTTTTGGAAAGTCAGCTTCTCAAACGTTTTTCCACTACTTAAATGCAAGTGTCTCACTTGCCCATTGACGCAGCGATAAAAGTTTATTGATGAAAGAGTATCGTCTAATAAACAATTGTTCCACGAGCGCGCGTTGGATATGAGATGAAGGGCCTCGTTGGCGATAATCATCTCATATCCAACAAGGGCGGGTAGATTGACTGTTTTATCAAAAACACCCCTTAGTGTAAATAAATCTTCCCAAAGTTATTTTGTAAGAAAAACGGAATGTTACAATGTATAAAAGTACTTCCGTTTAACTCGTCTTCATGCGCGCGCATGATGGCTTATTACTCATGATGGCTAAGCCAATGAAAACTCTTGAATTGCATTATCCAATGATCCAGTTTTTAATAACAACTTGCAGTGAGCTTTCCAATTTCCCCACGGTGGATAGGTCAGTCAACGCCTCTTTCGCGTCTTCCTTTGTTCTCAAACTTAGGAAAGACATTCTCATTGTCCGCTCATTTCTAAACCTAATTTTCAAGTGATAACATTCTATGCACTTAGGTATTTTATAAATTGAGTCTTCAAGGCGGACTTTTTTTTCTGCTAGACTCCAGAAGTTTCAACTGAACATCGCCAACACAGTGATCTCGTAAGACAACTCAAGCCTATTAACCCTAGATACTGGACAACTCCTGGATCTCTTTTTAGTCGACCAAGAAAAGAAAAGAGAA